GTTGTAAGCGGTATCTTACTGTTTTTCTTGATGGTTTAGCTCTTATATGACTTGGTGGGTGTAACAACTCTGTTTCTAGGCTTCTTCAATACGGAATTGATGTTCTCTTTATCTAGTTCTTGTACAAATTACATCAGGTAAAGCAAAATCAGCATTATATTAGTCAAAATAGGAATTATTTAAAACTGGGGACATTATCAGTAGGATTTTTCTATTTGTCCACCGAATTTGACACCTTGGTATGCAGCCCCCTCACAATAAAGGGGGGGCCACGACCAAAAAAAATAAATTGCAAGCCCTCCTATTGTGAGGGGAACTGTACATCAGAGTGTACATGTAGCAAAACCCTTATTGATAAGTTAAAATAAGGGTGTAAATGTGGATGAGTCTCTCCCAACCCATTAGGTCTACAATTTAAAAGCCCGACTTGCCTTTGCTAGTAGGCCAGTCCAGGCATGAGAGTCTGGCTTGCCTGTCACAACAGCCCATAACCTCAGCCTAAGCCACAAAGAAATAAATAATTAATTTTAAATAAAAAAGAAATTTGACTTTGAGATTTACTCTTTGACATATAATGCATAGCGAAAATGTGACATGTTTGATAAGTTGGCGCGGACATTGGCTAGATGAAAGAAAATTGGAATAACCGGGACCCATGAGGAGGTTTAGAGAAAACAAAAGTGTAACAACACTTCCATTTTCGAGCCTTTTGATGACCTTGTCTAATTCAACATCCCAAATATCCCATGAGATAAACAATTACAAATGACCAAAAAAAAATAAAAAAATCTCCAAGTAGATTAACATTCCATTTTGCCCTCATTAATTTCCATTTCATTTTTCTCTCTCCTATTTTTAACCACACAATCTTCAATAAAATAATATTACACGTAAATCGAAATTTTTTCCTTCCTTTTCAACCACTCATTCTTAAAAAAAAATAATAATAATAAATAAAATAAAATAAAAATAAAAATTATTCCATTCATTTTCATTTCCACAAAATAAGGGCGAAAGATGGTCTAAATGTGCCCATAACAAGAAAATATTACTTCCACTGCATTTCAAGTAGAATTATTTTTGCAGAAAAAGGGGAAAAGAATTTTTTTTATTTTTTATTTTTTTCCCATTACAAGAACTGAGGAAAAACAAAATTTGAAATTACAAATTATATTCAATGTCTCGAAACATCCCAATTAGCCATAAGTAGAACCTTTTTATTTATTTATTTATTTTTATTTTTCAGTATCACGTTTCTCCATCCCTACTTCCTGAGCTCGGCCTCTTTGTTGTTAGTCCTCACTCCTTGTGGCTCTAGTTTTTTCCGCAAAACCTTGTGTTAAGGCTTTCAAATTCTCCAAGAAAATCTCTTGATCTCCAATCACGGTTGAATATTTATTTTCTTGGACATTTTCATGATATCCGAAAACATTCTACCTCGTCCCAACTTTGAACTCGAGGCTCCGACAGCCACTCGCAACACATCCTCAATCAAGGCAATTCCCCATTATATCAACATGTGCACCACTCTCTGAGCCCCTCCCCTCGAGCAAATTTGCTGGTGCTTTGTGCTTGTACTCTCTTATGTATGTTTAAATTCCAGAAGGATCAAACCGTGTTTTACCTCTCTATCCTTTGGCACACATGAAATAGCGCTCAAGATCGGGATGCTCTCATCACCGTACACAAAGTATATGCCGCATTTTAATGGTCACCCAACTTTATGCTTAGTATCATAATCGTCACCAAATTTTATACTTAGTGTCAACATTGTCATCTAATTTGAATTTATTTCGCAATAGCCATCCAATTTCATATAATGTCTCACAATGGCCACCCAATTTATTTTCACAATTTTTACTAATTTTAAAAGTGGTAAAATGATAAATTTGCATTTTATATAGAAAATAAATTTAAAAACTAAAAAATAAAAGTTTTTTTAAATTTTTTTAAATAAATTTTATTTTATTTTATTTTTCTAATTTACTTTTTTTTTAAATAACTTTTTATTTTAGTTTTTTTAAGTAAAATTTTTTTAAAATAACTTTTTATTTTATTTTAAAAGCATCTTTTTAAAATAAGTTTGTATTTTATTAGGTAACATTTTCTTAAAAAAAATTAAGTTTTTTAAAATTTATTTTATATAAATAATGTAAAGTTATCATTATATCCATTTTAAAATTAGTGAAAATGCTCAAAAGATGTTGAATGGTCATGATAAAACATTATATGAAATTGGATGACCATGGTGAAATAAAATCAAATTGAATTATCATGGTAACTCTAAGTATAAAGTTGGGTGATTATAGTGAAACAAAATCGAATTAAGTGGTCACGTAAAATTGGGCGGCCATTTGTGAACGCCCTACATTAGCATAGAGGGTCATCACTTTATGTTCATAAGACAAGGTTGCAGAAACTTTTGAAACCTTACATTTGGATTCATTTTGAGTCTAATGCTTTGGATCTTTAGATCTTTTGTAATGTTTGATCTCTATGCTGGGGAATGTCCGGAGTTGTACTCAAGATTTTGATCAATATATTCATTTATCCAATAAAAAAAATGAATAGGAATATGGCTTTACTGTATAATGCAATTGATGAACCTGAAGTGGTGCCTAGATACTTCCCTATTGCACTAGAGAACATGCACGAGAGTTAAAACTATTTTGATTATTCGTTTTCAAACAAGATCCTTTTTCTTCTGTCTGCTAGAAAACAAATGTTGATTTAAATGGGGACTGGCTATTCCTCTGTCGTGATACATGTTATCGGTTATCTGAATCCCTCAGTTTCGTTTCGGTGCATGAAAAATATTTTGAATCGGATGAATGAAGAAAAAGTAGTCCATACTAATGATTGCTGCCTAACTTTTTATTACTAAAGATCTGAGGTTCTACAAATAGTAGTTAGAATGAATCAGTTCCAGAATTATTTTTCAGTGGTGGATCTGTGGGAGAATTCACTGAAGGCTCGTCATTTATGTTTAAGGGCCAACCATTCTAAGCTTCTCCTATTCTGCAACAATTAATCACTGAATTCGCAGAACATTTGAACTAATAATTATAGGATTTTTTGTTTCTCTGCTCAATTTTCCTGTCCAGAATCTCTACTTAAGTCTCGTTGTTAATTCATCTTTTTCCTTATTTATTTCAAGGCATTCGTGTTCAACCTATGGTAAAATACCGTGAAAAGTTATTGAATGTGAAATTGCTAATTATTCTTTATAACATCTGATGGTTTTATCCTGCGCGTATATTTAATCTGTGCCAGTGTTTGAAATTCTTTTCTTGCAGTCATTTACTACTGTTTTCAAGCAATCAGCAACGGAGACCTCTTCATATACAATTCTCTTTAGCGCAATTATTTTGCAGTAAAAAAATGATCCAGATCCTGCTTATTATGTTCACTCAGAGGATGCCTCGCCTTGCGTATTTGGTCCAGTTGAGAAGCAAAGGTGGACCATATGCATGTGCGAGGCAGTTGTTGAAAGGCTGATTTATGGTGACTGAACTTAAATCCATCGATCTTCACTTGGTATTGCAACTTGCATTACAAGTCTCTCACGCACCTTGGTCTAAAACTTTGTTTATATCTATATCCTGCCACCCCCTACCCTATCCCTATCCCTATCCCTATCCCTATAGTGGCTTCAAAGTACAGAACAATTTCAGAACACTCACACGAGGGTGGGTGGAGTGGGTATTTTTTACAATTTTTTATTCATATGGGGCCCACCCCATGTGAGTGTTCGATTGGGGTCTGTGAACCCTACAATAATTGAGGATATGCCCCTCTAGGATTCTAGCTAACAAAAACAGTATCCTAAGGGGTTCCATTTGAGGAAAGCAAATATTGATCCTTTGGGATTTCTGGTAGTGATATATGGAATTTTTTTCTTAGTTATCTCATATTCTCAGTATACCTGCAATAATTAAGGATATTGTCATAATAGCTTTATGTCTCTGCCTATGAGGTAGATCACATGATAGTCAGCTAAGAGAAATATCATACGAGGTCAGTACTCAATTTACCATCTTCTCTTTTACATGCCCTTTCGAGATGATTATGCTATACCTTTAGATGCCATGTCTAGAATATTATGATGGTTATGCATAGACACTAGTGAGCTATTAGGATAAGGTCTTGTGTCATGCATTCAGATGGAACCTCTTCAACTTGCTTCCTTCACATAAATACTTGGTTCTTTCTCATGAAGAGAGAAGATTTTTCAAGAATTGAAAAAATTTAAAACTCATATTTTTCGTTCATTGTGTCTCTCACACTTAATATTGTTTATCATTTGACTTGAGCAACGAAGTGTATAAGTTGAAGCTTCAATATGTGCAGTTTAATATGGTTATCAAAGCGTACAAGTAACACACCCGTGGATGAGATAGCAAATGAAATGAGTTGACAGTTGAATATCGTTGAATTTGGAGGCCAACAAATAGTGTCATGTTTAATATCTTTGTGATTCCATTTCTAGTTTGGTGTATCCAAAAGAACAGGTAAATTAGAAGGCTAGGTGACTCGGTCGTCAAGGTCGAGGTTAATATACAAGATGTCAGGCCTAGTGGTCCGTATACTGTTTTTACGTAACACTTTTCTAGTTGTAGTTTGTTTGTGCACGCACGACCCCATTTCCTTTGGTGGTCGGGAATTTCTTCACCAGATGATTTGTAACAAAATAGCTCATCCTTGGTGCTTCATTAAAGAGTGGTCGTCTAAGGATTAGTTTGTAGGTTATCAAAGTTTCCAAAACTCGAAAAGAAAGCGTCTTTTGTGATTTGCAGGGGTCTGTACCCAATGTAACAGAGCTTGATGATCCCTTCTCGAATAATTGTACCTCCTTTGAAACCTTGAAGCGGAGTTATTGCTGACAACGTACGACTTGGTTATACATTGGTTGCACTATCATTGTCCACTAGTGTTCTTTTGATCAATTACATCATAGTATACAAGTTTTATACTACCACATTGTAACACAATTTTTTCACAAATAAGATCTTGACACCAAAGATGATATCAAACATTGACGTACCAGTGGCTTTATTCTTTTTTCACCTTGAAATAATAATTACATGGATGACAACCACGTCATCATGCGGGGAATAATCTCACGATTAGTCCCGTTTGATAACCATTCTTGTTATAGAAAAATTAAAAAATAGAGTTTTGAATATTGATTTTTAGAAGAATATGTGATTAAAAAGTAAAAAATATTTTTTAATTTACGTGCAGAATATTTTATTGTGTGAACGTATTATTGAAAATGAGTATGTAGAAAAGAATTTGAAAGCATGATTGACAAACAGGGGCTACACTGGGGTTACCTTAGAGCTGCAAAATATAAAAATTAGAAAAAAGACACTAATACAATTTGTTAAGGTCTTGATGATTCTAATTAAAATCAAATAAGAAAACAAAATATGCTTGGCCAAGAAAAAAAAAATTTAAAAATTGAAATGATACTCAATGCCTTCGAATTGAAATCAAAAGATGGCTGCGTGCAGTATGCCATATGCCACTCTAAAAATACAACATTAAATACTGCTAAATGAAAGTCGTCTTTCTCTGCTGTCCGATGGCTCTTCCAGTTTCTCCCTCTACACGAAACCTTAGATTGCGGGCATGCAAACACTGTCAGTTTCTATCTACACTGCTAAATATACACACATATATACACTTCCTCTAGCACGATTTCTAAACAGAGCCAATTATTCATTCTTCATTCAAGAACTGTCAATTGAAGGCCTTGGATCTGAGAAGAGGTACATAAAACACTACAACGACAAATACTGTCCAGCTTCTCCCCGTACCAGCATACGTTAGAATTTCACCCTTCAAACTGTGTAAAAATTGTAGTAGTGAAAAGTGAGGCAATGCATTACAACAACGCGTAATTTTGCATGCTAGAAAGAAGAAGACAAGAATAATTTCCAATTTCAATCAATAAAATTTTTAGCCAAACATGCTCCAAGTTGATCATTATGCATTGTTACTCCTATCACCAAGTCTGAAGCAGTAAGATTTCAACTCGGACATTAACAAAGCAATGGGTCAAAACTAGGGACATATTAAACCTATATATTCCTTCCTACCCGGGGGGGGAGGGGGGGGTGATGAAAAGAAAAGGAGGAGCTTAGCAACATTTCTTGCTGAAAAAGTACATGGATATCATTACAGGTGATAAAGGGCTGGTCAGGGACGACATGGTCCTTTTCTCTGTGACCGATGTTGGGAAAATTTAGGCGGCCTAGGGCATCTAGAGCTGAGCCAGGCCATTCTGGGATCTTAAGAGCCGCCTGTCCCAAATTCTACACCCACGATTGTGGCAAACTACAGCATCTGTATTTTCCTTAATCATAGGCAACCTATAGAATGTACTAAACTAACAGTTTACAGATAGACAACTATTCTCTGAAGTATGTTTTCTCCCTTGAGCTGAAATCTGCTCCAAAACAAGAATTTCAAAGAGCGTTATTTTATATTGACAACAAGTTAAACAATATGACCATGCAGAGTCCCATGCGATATGAACAGTAGTAATCATGTATATACCAGCGTAAAGCACCCAAAAGTAAAGATGCAATATACTTCTTTGATGTAAGAATATTAATTTGCCTGTTCGGAAAAGCTAAATTCACTTATAAGTGGATGAGGAAGCTTTAAAATAAATAACCTTTTTGTTGAACTAATTACGAAATCAGTAAGTTACTCATTTTGAAAGTAATAATTGCTTCTCTCTCAAAGTAAGCAACTTCTTTTATTTATAAGAAAAAAAAACCTGTCCAAACATGTATCCGAGAACAGATCAACCAGGCCTCAATCAAGCTACAATCTGAAATGAGAAAAAAAAAAGGGTAAGAAACCAAAACATCAACTCTTGTATTGCTCCCCAATATACCAAACAAAATGGTCAAACAACCCCAAGATAAAAACGAAGAAATTTTAAGAGGATGTTAGCTTGTGATATTATAAGTTGGTTTACAGCCCATAAATATAAACATTATATGTATGTTTGGTACGTAAAATTAGAATGGAACTAAACATTACAATATACATTATTTTACTTTTTTCATTTTTCTCTAATAGTATGCACCTTACAAACATGCCACGTGAGGTCTCCAATTTGGATATTAATACAAAGCAAACTAATAACAAGAAATTTGGAAATTTGAACTACAAACTAAAAGGCAAATGGAAATATCTAAAGAACCTAGAATCCCAATATGGCAATACCTAGCATAACAAGAAAATGGAAGAGGGCACAAATAGGGTGAACAAAATAAAAGGTCTCATTCAGTAGTCCTTTCAGCCATTTTTCAGAGATTGGATAACTGAGAAAATTAAGTCTTATAAAAAAGTAAGTTATAAAGAATAACAAAAATACAATATTACAACTTCCTTCCTGAAATTGTAAATAAAGTTGTTTAACAATAAAACTAGAAAATAACAATTGCAAACAGAGAGATAAAAGATAGAACTGGATGTCTGGACCTAGTAAGATTAGATATCACTTATCAGTCAAATGATAACCTGTGCATATATCCCAATATAACAGTAACAAATATATCTCCTATTGTTAGATCAGTGACATAATTCTTCCAAGTTTCAGTAAGTACAGAGAAATATTTAGCAAACTATTCTCAACTTCGATTAGATTCGAATAATTGTAGATAAATATCTCACAAAATACTGTCACTTCAGCTTTAAAGCTGTATATAAAAGACAAAATTAATCAAGACTTTTCCATTAGATAATAAGGCCTTTCACTATGTTATTAGGAATCCCAGCTTTCTATTCATAATATAAATTGACATTTTATTGCCACTTATAAATTGATATTTTATTGCAAAGTGGTCCACATTTTTGACAAAAATCTATTATGGAGACAACTTCTGCAAATTCATTACAAATTACTCCAAATAATTCCCAAATCATGAATTTCAAATGTGTTAACTATGACCAGGTGATAACATCTTTTCAGAATATGATTTTTTAATTCCTGTGATTTCGAGTGAAACTCACCTTCATAAGTGAAGAAAATTTTCAGATTGCACCATGTGATAGAAGAAAAAACAGATGTTGAAATATTGTATAATGGGACATATTTAATATGCACACTAGTTTGCAATAATCATTTGATGCACCAAGTACATAATGGCTGGAATGATACACTTATAAAGCCCATAAAAGCAAAACTAAGACTACAGGAATAATCTAGCAACCAGAGTTCTACATACTCATCACAAGATCATCAGCTATGGCTTGTAATAGGCAAACTCAAAGATTTTTCCTGTTTCCTGTTTAAATCCTACTCAATGCACAACTGTGAAAATATCATAACAGAAGAAACCAAACATTGAACCTTTAGAGACTATCCTTCATGGTTAGCTTTATGGTTTGAACTTTCACAGATAATTGTTGTTTATGGTCCTCTACATCCTTCAAAATAGAAAGGAGGTTTGTACGATATACTTCACACTTCCTATTAGCATGCTCCAGATCCCGGGAAAGTTCACGAATCTTCTGATCCATGTCATCCTACAAAAGATGCGTTAAGTTTCTCAGTGAGAGTCACGGGTCGCTAAATGCCATAGCCCAATAATAGAACATTTGTTTTTAACAAAGCTTATCAGATCATCGTAAAATGAAGAACCAAGAAATGTGCACTTGGAAAAGGATTTGATAGGATTACACAAAATTCTTTCATTCCGAACGCCAGTTAATGGTAATAACAATAAGGCATTATGCAAGGTCTCAATGGAAAGAAGACTTCAACCTCCTCCAACCAATTGGGATAGATGCATATAAGGATCATATTTCCATATCCACATAATATGCTAATAATGCAGTCTTGGTTGATAAAATTAGTATCTAAAGACAAATGATGAAGTTAAGAATGGAAGGAATCAACACAAGTGACACCGGAATTAGTAGGAACAGAATACAAAGAAAGCAACTTCAGTCAAAGTAAAAAAGGCAAATACTACGGGAGTGTTTGGTGGAGACTAAAATTAAATTTTTAGTAGATTTTGATAGAAGTTTTTATAATGTGTGGTTGAAAAGTTGTGAAATTCATGAAAGATGTGGTTAATATTGATTGTTTAACTTTCACTTAGATTAAAATCAGATTTTAATTCGAACCAAACCGGGGCTAATCAGTCAAGTATGATTTTAATCCGAACCAAACCGGGGCTAAGCAGTCAAGTGCATAAGCAAAAGCATTCAAATACAAGATCAAACCTGCAATTCGTGAGAATTACTGTCATGCAATGAAACATGTTTTCCACAATAGCAAGAGAGGAAGGAATAAAATGATAGGACGAACGGCCGAACACAAAATATCCATAAGACTAACCGATATAGAAAATTTAAGAGAAAGAGACAAGAAAAGAATATTTAGAGAGAGAACACACAATTAGAGAGAGAATTCAATTTCACTGAAAATCACATCAACATCGGCAAGATATGAAATTGCAAATTATCCTAATAATTTTACAAAAATAAATAAAAAGTATCTACTACTATTTTAATGCCTAGAACTAGTTTGTATTTTGGAATGTAGTCTCCAAATTAGGAAGGTAATCTTCTTCAATATAATGTATTCTCCTTAATTATGAATTCATGTTCTATCTCCCGCATTAGGAATAAAATCCCTATCTTGTCGGGGGGGGAGGGGGGAGATGAATCCAAATGGATAGCTCTGTTGCATCAAATTTATGCTTATATCCCTTGTTCCACGGAGCCAAAAAGAAGCATGGACAAGTCGTCTCCAAAGGACAAGCTCCAATCCATTACAATGGTTCACTATACAAAGGTATGAGAATACACTTCAACAGAAAGACATTAAACAAAAGTTGGAATTTGAAGGGAAGTGATAAGATAATTATTTTAACTGACTTCATTGATACAAGAGTTAATCTTCCTAATTACTTACACATAATTTATCCAACGAAAAGATTCCAAGAACTTTTCAAGGACTATTATACAATTATATATGACATATAGAGCATATATCAAGCAATATTTGGGCCTTAAAAATATTTAATGGAAAAAAAATAAATTCAAAAGTTAAAATTTGCATTAATCTAGCCTTCGTTTGAGACCCATTGATGTTATAATTTTTGGAATAGTGTTTTTTTTGGAAAATTTGTGGTTGAAAAAGAAGAAAAAGTTTCTGGTTTATGTGATAATTTTATTTTATTGGAGAATGTGTAGTTAAAAAGAAGATAGAGAAAATTTTATTATAAATTTAATGGGGCCCAAACGGGGGCCTATACTATATGATCCCCTCCCAGCCAAGATATAATGAAAATACAACTAAACCTTATTTCAAATAAAATTGGTGTTGCCGTGTTGGCTATATGAATCCTTTTTTCCAATCTTATCATAGAAAATTGAGAGAATAAATGACAAAAAAACTAGTTAATATTTGCCCAAAAATCATTAAAATTCTGCATCACAATGCCCTGGCAAACCATTAGTTAATGGACGCCATGAAATAATACCCTTATTTTTCATTTTCACAACTCCTAGGTTAAGTAGACTGATATGCTGTGTCACAGTATGCCTTTGTGTCTGTGCACTGAGTGAAAGAGAGAAAAAAAATTCTTATTAAAGAAAATGGATACAAATAGCAGCAAACTAAAGCGATGATTAAAGAAATAACATACCTCAGACAATCGGTGGGCTGAGCTTCCCTGAGCTTCCCCATTAGTTTCATCCCCTGTTGAAACACCCCTCATACGCCCATTGGACATAGAAGTCTTCCCCTCATTTTTTGTAGCAAGCGAAACTTTCTTTGAAGCCTCTAACAAAGCAGCCATAGCGACGTTGTAAGACTCCAAAGTTTCTGCACCTTCATCGATAAATTTAAAGGCTTCATGCCGAAGAGTATTATACCGAACTGTATGGGACTCCAGATAACCATTGAATAGATCTGTAACCCGCTCTTCTAATATAAGACTACTCCTAGCATTTCTTGTCCATCGCTTCAATATGTAATGAGATGGAAGCGTAAGAACATTAGTGACCCTGAAGACTGCCAACACATGTCTGCAAAGAAGACCTGAAAATTCGAACATCTGGCAGCTACAAGTAGATCTCATTTGGAGAACATTGAATCTCACATGGTAAACTTTGTGGTCTTCCCCAAATTTTGCCACTTGATAGGTAGTAACCTCTCCATTATCTTCCACTTTGGATGCCATGAAAGTGAGAGTTCCAACCAACTCCTCTTGAAATCTCATGAATATCTTTCTTGTATAAAGATCAGATGCTTGTTTCTCCATAGGAGAAGGAGTCTTCAGAACCCGTGACGTGTTCATTGAATCAAAATCTGCTTTAACTTCTTTCTCATTTCGGCTCTCCAATGCTTTTTCGTACAACTTAAAGAATTGATTAAGATTTGTAGATGCATTCACATACCCATCAAAGTATGAGTTCATACTATCACTGCGCTGAGTAATGGACATTTCCGCGAAAAATGTATCACGGAGATAGACAGGGACCCATTGCCTGCGATCGCATAGGAGAAGGGGTCTTCAGAACCCGTGACGTGTTCATTGAATCAAAATCTGCTTTAACTTCTTTCTCATTTCGGCTCTCCAATGCTTTTTCGTACAACTTAAAGAATTGATTAAGATTTGTAGATGCATTCACATACCCATCAAAGTATGAGTTCATACTATCACTGCGCTGAGTAATGGACATTTCCGCGAAAAATGTATCACGGAGATAGACAGGGACCCATTGCCTGCGATCGGAGTAAATATCTCGAAGCCATTCGTGATCGCCAAGATCATATTTATCAACAAGAGAATGCCAGCAGGATTCGAATTCCTCGGTGTACTCTGGCAAGTTTACACACTTGTGGAAATCGGCTTCAAAATGGGGATGTTGCTGCAACACATGAGACAATTTCTCCTGGCATTTTTTGAATATATGCCATTTGCAGAAACGATGACGGGTATTGGGGAAAACTTGCATGATAGCAGACCGAATGACAGTATCATGATCAGTAGTGATGGATACCGGACAGCGACCAGACATAGCCTCCAGCCAGGTATTGAATAACCACATAAATGACGATTCTGATTCATTTATTAGAAAAGCACAACCAAACAAAACAGGTTGTCCATGATGGTTCACCCCTGTGAAGGGCACAAAAGGCAATCTATACCTGTTTGACCTGTAAGTAGTATCGAACGTGACAGTATCTCCAAAATAGGTATAGTCAGCTCTCGCCTTGGGGTCGGCCCAAAAAAAGTTACCTGTGTACTGATCCTCGCTTCCCTGCACCCTGTAGAAAAAAGAAGAGTCCTCAGTGTGCTTTTGCTTCAAATAATCCAAGAGGGGCTGAATATCTCCATCAAGACTCCTCTGACGATTGTTACGCATGTAATTCCTGCAATCAACCTCAGTGAACCCCACTTTGCTAATGCCACCATACTCCTTGATGAGGACAGACATGATCCGACGGGGACCCATACCAGCAGCCTGCAAGGTATCAATCAAAGTTTTGGCAGGACCAGAGATTTGTCTGTGGGATCGGAGGCAATGCACCTGGTCAGGTGGAACCAGCTCATGATTATGCTCTTTGACGAAGCTGGATACGACCCATTTGCCTGAATCCTGTATTTTGACAGACAACGAGGCCTTGCACCCTACTCGTGTGATGGTCCGTGGCCGCTTAATCTCCCTATTTTTCGTCCGCTTCTCATTCAAGTTTCGAAAACCTTCCTTAGCACAGACAAAAGACCTCTGTATAATAGCCCCATCCTTCCTCGAGCGACGGGAGGAGCTAACACGAGTACTAAACCCTACACGCCTTGCATATGAGTTGTAAAACGCTTTGGCAGCCTCCTCGGACTCGAATTCCATCCCCTCGTAAGGTTCAAGATCAAGATCCCCCTCAGGAATGTAAATTTGCATTGGGTAAGCATTATCTCCACTGCCACTTCCAACACCACCTCCAACGTTGGATGCCTCATCATCATCTTCGTCTTCTTGGGGCTCAATGTCAATATCATCATCTGCCCCTCCTAAACCTATATCAAACTCTAACTCTGCATTCTCCATCTTGAATAAAATATTTTAATATCCAATTATAAACCCCAACTCTGTAGCAACAACTAGAAAATCCTGCGATAAATATATCAAAGTGTAACTTGAATAAAAGAACGTGAACTAACATTCAATTGATTGATAAACCTGTCAAGATATCATCACACATGTAAACTGAAATAAAATATACCAACAAAAAGGAAAAATTACACACAAACACACAACTTAATTGGCTTTAAAATAACAAAAGAACAACAGTTGATAAACACTTACCCGAATACGTAATTTTTATTCATACAGAAGATTGGGATTGTAACAAATTCCGGCGGGATTCAAGAGCGACTGGCTGAAGAGAATAGCCCTACTTTTGACTCGGATGGGCAATTTCAAAATTTGGGGGTTTTATTGGCGTGAGAGGATAGAGTACTTGCAAAATGCACGTATAAATCTTTTAATTTGGGTCGAGTCGTGCTGAAAAATAATGCTTCAAATGCAATAATTTGCCTCTATTAGGGTTATCATTTTAATTTGCCAAAAATAGTATTTATGGATCTATAAGAAATGTGATTAAAAATAAAATTTAACTATTAAAAAAATTGAATTCATACAAAGGTAATTCATTAAAGAAGATTTGTCCTTACTGAGATAAAACGATTCTGATTATAACTTACGATCAGTGACATAAAAAATAAGCATCGTCATTATCAAGCGTGTAATCTAATCATTAAGTATCGAGATGGTGTTTTTCATCGTTTGATTGTATCAATCTATACTACTTTCTGACACGTGACGAATTACATCATTTTCATTAAGTAAGAAGCAAAATCTTCAACGTCCCATCAACTAATTTCCTACCAATGAGTACATCTCAACTTCACCAAACCAAGTTCACCATATGGGCAAAAAGTGCAGCAAACAGTGTTGAGACATTAACCTCGAAATCTCAAATGTAACATCGTTGACAAAAGTGGATATGAACGATTGACGAACTAGATTTGTTGACGCTATGGATGC